AACATGATCTGTTTTGTGCCCTTCTACTACTTGAGCAAATGATCCGCAAACCCGCAAACTCACTATCTTGCCGACAGCGCAAACATGCAAAAGCCCCAAAGTGACGTGACAACAAGGCTAAACAACTTACAATTCCCTTCTGCCTTCTGCCACTGCTTTTTCAGGCATTCACAAGAGCACACCTTTTTTTGCACGGTTCTTGGAGCATTTGTTGCTCGGGTGCCCCTTTCAGTCCACTCAATCCTTGCTGGCCAAGGAGTGGATCGACGCACATCGACACGGGTCGAAAGTGAAGCCGTGTTCGGTCAACTTTGGGAGCAGGTCATGCCATGCACTTGCCATTCAGTGAGCCTCTACAATCAAGACTGCTACACTCAAGACATCAGTATTTCCCTCAGTATGACATACAATAACTTGTGTCATGGATAGCTGATCAGCTGATCTGGGCATTGCACGCAATCGCAAGCGGCACCCTCCACCTGTTGTGAGTGCCATCAGTTGGGGCGGCCTCTGGTCTACCGTGAGGTCATACCCACACCGGGTGGCTACTTCTCTGGGCCTACAAACAACCTGTGGTTTCTGTCCACTATCAACAAGTTTATGGTCACCACATCCACCTTGATGCCAACTTTGCTGACACGTAAATCATGATATGGTGGGGTGGGGTGTGGTGTTGACACAAAGCCATATGCCATGTGCTTCAAGGCTATGTCCACCTGCACTCAATTGCAAAAGGCTGCCTGGTCGGAAAAATGTTCAGAAAGCAATGCCGTAGATGCACAAGGAAGATTCGTCGCAGACGTTCAAAAGGCGCTTCAGTTTCATGTCTTAAAGCAAGCACTTCCCATCCATGTGCTTACAGTTTACTGTAGTTCTTTTGGCCCCCCTTCAGTTCTGCTTGACAGCCTTCTGCATGAGGCTTGATCGCAAATGCCTTTCATCCAACCGTCTCATCCAACAGAGCCCCACCGAGCATCAACTACGAAGCCACCAAGCATCAATCAACGCCATAACCTCTCGATATCTGTGACACCCACACACGACGTCAGAGCCCTGGACATCTAAGACTCTTGGGTTCCTTTTCTGCAGCCAGAGCAATGCGGGGCAATTGGATCAAACATGATCAAAGCTATCACGCCACGTGGTGTGACCTTCACTGCAAACATACAGTGGCTTCCGCGGGCAAGATGTGAAACAACAAGGGACGACAAAGGAAATGGCAACCAATCGAAAAGAATCGCATATGATGTGCTTCCACCAGCTCCAACTTTAGATCTGGCCTGACTGAGTTTTGCTATAGCCCATTGCACAACTGGAAAAACACCTGTGGGAACATTTCGGAAAAACGGCAAGGCATGTTGGCTCCTGGAATGATAATCTGCGTTGGTTTGTCTATAGGATGAGGGTGAGGGTACATCTTCTCCTATGTACACACACGGAAAAGTGTGCCATGCAAGGCTTCAGCGATCCAAATGTCCTCCACTTGATGCTAGTAGCTTGGGGCCATGCTTTGGGCTCCTCGCTTTCGAGCGCCGCCCAATCGCTTGAAGAAGGCAGAACTGCAAAAGACCTCTCGCACAACTGGCACAAGGATACATCGGATACCACTTGTGCCCAGCGGAGATACCACTTAGGAGATGCAACTCAGCTTGCATCCTAAGGGGTCTGTACTGTACATCGCAGCACCCCGATGCCTCCTCCAGATTCCTCCTTCCGATACCTTTGCCTTGAGCATCCGATGGCCAACAACCTAGAAAGCTGGCAACTGTCCTTTGCTTTTCTAGAGATATCACAACATTGACTTTGAGGGCTTGAAGGAATCTCAACTTGTGGAGAGGTAGTGGCTCTGGTGACCACTTTGCACCGGGAAGAGTTCCATGTCAAATTTCCTCTCATGAGTCAGACATACAATCTGCATAATCCACCAGAACAGCACGGGTGTTCACCTGCACAGTCGGCTCAAAAACCGGAAGTCTTTTGGATTGTCTAGGCTGTTTGCAGGTAAAAGCCTGCAGATCTCTTGAAAGTCGAGCAAGAAAAGCCGCTCCCCAAAACATCCTATTTATTACTGAATCCTTTCCTGCTTCTTTTTCAGTGCAAAGCCCCCGAGTCATCCCCAGAGACGAGTCGACTCGTCTCGCCTGACCATCTTCCATGACTTCGCCAACCACAAAGCCTTGCTCTTGGCCATCGACACCCCAACCTGCCGACCCCCCCAGCAATTCCCGCGCGAGGACTCCGGGGGAGGGTGGTAAGCTCCGATCCCAAGAAACGGCCACAGTGGAGGGCTGGGACTTGAGACAAAGGAAGAAGTAAAAGCAAATGATGGAAAACCATGGAACACCGCCTTCCCAACACCTCCATTTGGATGCAGCACAAAAACACAACCCCATGTGATGTGTCTGCTTCCTCTTCGGCAAATTGCCAGGAGGGGAATCATCAAGTTTGGGGGAGCAAGCACTGTCGAAATGATGGAAAGAAACAATGTGGCCACTGGGCTACAGAACAACCACTTGGGCCGCTTCTTCACTCTGCACTCACTTTCACTTGGCCTTGGCTGTGACATTCTGTGACTCTTGAGATGAAGTGGCCAACCATCGGTGAACAATTCGTGTTCCCGTTTCACCGTATGGAACAACAACTCACTGGAAACCGAACACACTCACTTGCTAGACGAATGAAAGGGAGGGTCAAAGAAAGGGCTTCACGTGTTTACGGGCGCTGGTGACCATTTCTGTCGACCAGCGGTGTTGGGAGACAGGGTTTCAGCAGCAAGGTAACGTGCACTGCTCTTCCCAAGACAACCTCGCCTGCACCACCACCGGAGAGCCAGCTGGTATGAGGGCTGATGCTGTAGGTGGAAGATTGATCCACATTGTGACGATGACCTCCGAAGTAGACAATGGAAGGACCTGAGATGATCGAGATGAAGAAAACTGCACTTGCGTGACTGCTGTGTGTCGTCTTTGAAACGTGTAGTTTGAGGTTCCTTGCTTCATGATCCGGCTAAAAGGCTCGAGCAAACTGGTGCATCTTGCTTCAGCAGGTCCATAGAACTTTCTCTGAAAAAAGAACCAACGACAACCTAGGGAAGGCCTATAGGTCCCAGCGGCGGGAGGCGTTGGAGAGCTCCGACAGGAAGTTCGTCAACATCGCCGGCCGATCCTCGTGGTGCCACAGCCACGGGGGAGACCACCACCTGGTTGCTTCGTTGAGCCGCGTCGAAGAAGACACGAAGTGAGGCAGGGCGGTGGCCCTGTTCATGTCATGTCATGCAAGTGTGTGCTTGAAAACCCTTAAAAACAAGCTTCGATCTTCTAACATCAATATTTCTTGAAGCGGGTTTGAATGGCCAATGACAATTGAGGAATTCCCAGGTGTACTGCATAAAGCACTCTTAGGTGTAACGGTGTAACGTTTGCCAAACAGATCCTGCGCAGCAAGGCCTCTGGCAAACTCATTGGCCAAGGAGCTGCAAGGGGGCGGACTCATTCCATGCTGACGGGAAGTAGTCAGTGGGATAATGCGAGAACACCTCGGCAGCAAAGGATGCAAAAAGACTTTCTCCAAAGCCTATTTTGGGCCCGGTTCATCTTCGGACGCAGTGAAATTCATCTCCTTGTGACTTTTGAGATGATCTTTAAACCAACTATATAGGACCTAGGAGGCTGGAACTTGAGAGAGGAGGGGGGTGAACGAAAGGTAGCAGGGAATCAGGCGTAATCCGGGAGGAGGTGAGAGGCCCCCCACGCTTGAAGACAGGAGGAGCTGAAAACACTGGTATTGACGGTGTTTTGTAGCCGTCGATCCAGAGGCGCACCACGGTTGGGCGCTGGAAAAGCGCAGAAAACCGTGTAAATACCGGCGTTTTCTGCCGGGAAGGTGCACAAAACCCTGTAAATACCATTTTGTGCAATTTTGAAGCCTCCAAAAGCCTCAAAAACCCTTTCCGACAAAATCTTTCCTGGTTTTTGATCTTTTTTCGGTCGTTTTTCTAACCGAGACGCATCAAAAACCATCGGTTTTTGCAGTGTTTTTTGCCGGACAGCCACAAAAAACGCTGTAAATTCCATGATTTTTGGTCACTGTTGAGGACTGGAAGAGCTGAAAACACTGGTATTTACAGTGTTTTCGAACCGTTGACCCCGAGGCGCGCCAGGGTGGAGTTGAAAGGGGGGGGGCCCCCCCGGCCAGCAAACGAAGATGTCGGGGACCATTTCTCAGTGAGATAGGCTCCAGCTCTGGGTATAATACATTCTTGCTAAAGCAAAAGGAAAACTCAGGTAGCGTAACCGCTACCTTTCGTGACATCATCGATCAAGTGCAGCAACCCAGATAAGAACGAACCCCTCCAGCTGTCGAATCTTCTCCTCTTTGTCACCCGCGGAAAACAGCGTATCCATGCGTATCCCCTCGTCCACAGACTTCTGATCTAAAAACCACGGAGCTGCGTCCCTGACTCGCCGAGCCACGAGCCAGTTCGCAGCCTTGGACTGAGCAATGCGCTCTTCGAAGAGCTGTAGCGCTTCGTCGGACTTCTTCTTCAGGTGCTCGCCT